CCGTAGGAAACTTGGTTACTTAGCAAGCGCATGTTTCCTACAGTTAATATTGCTCCTAAAAATACTAGCCTTACTTCGTAGAACATACGAATATGCTGCTATTGCATTCATTGTTTCGCCCTTTTGGTGAAACTGTGACTTTTTTGTTAAATTAAGCATAGTACAAATTTTCGCCCAAGCACTAAATGGCGGGTCGATTTATTATGGCGCCATATACCGGGTGGTCGGTGTTTATCCAAGAAGCACGGGAGGTCTATGTGTGGGGTATTTTACTTTTCTGTGGATGCATGCATGTTGTGGGCCTGTGTTGGTGGGTATTGTTAAGTTTGGCCTGGAAATTCATCTGGGCAGTCGCCGTTGTGCGTAAGCTGGTCCTATGGAAAGGCTCTCAATCCCTTCGGCGCCCAGTCTGACAAACGCTGTCGAAGATTTGAGCACTTGTCCAGACCAAACAGCAAGCAAAGGCGAGTTCCCGTCCTTCAAATGCGGACCCCTTTGTCGTCCCTTCAAGCAGAAGCGGTGACTAATGGACTCGGCGACTCATCGGGCAACGGGAAAGCTGGCGTGACCAGCGACAGAGCTGACGGCGGAGCGGCGCTTCTTTGTTCCTCACTCAAGTAGCCGACCGGCCGACTGCCTATGCCCGCCAGGCATTGTCCCTGCTGGCCTGAGGAGGAGACGTCGTGTCGCCGCGACGCCACGACGAAAGAGGGCAACAGGGACGGCATCTTCCTGAAAGAGACCGCGACGGACACCGCAGATCGCCCCGCTAATTGGGCGAGCTGTGCGGTGGACCCTTTGAAGTATGCGGCCAGGATCGTGGGAACTCTCGACTAACGGCACACACACGACGAGGAAGAGCCCTGCTGGCGCCACCACAGTGCAGTGTTCACGTGGACCGTGCATGCTCGCCCCCTCACCTGTGTGTGCGTGATTGGTGTTCGACTCGGAGAGGAGGAGCCCGACAGGGCTTAAAACGACGCCGCAGAGTGCTGGACGTCGCTCTGAACTATGTAACGTTCAATCATCATGCTCGTGGTTTGTGAAACCTCTATCCCTTCTTTTCTGTAAATATGTGTAAATAATGTCATAAACCCTGTTTTGTTTTCCGTATCCTCTTGTCAGCGTTCAGTTCCTCCATCCGGTTGCATCATCAACGACCTTTCTTCCTTCCAACCTTAACAGTATATGTGCGGTATTCTTACCTTCTATGCTGCATGTTCATTAAATCTGTGAATGCAAATGGTAGCTTTTAGCCACTTCGTGTGAGGCAAACAAGTACGGATCAAGGAGATAAGCAAACGAGCGCAATACCTCGCGCAATGTGGCTAAAAAATTAATTCGTTCCAACTAGGCCGTGTAGCTTTATTTCTTTCCGTCCGCAAGCAAACAGAGCACATATTCTGCGTAATTGCTGCTAAAATTATACAGACATGCTGCACGCGTGCCGAAACCTGCGGCTACAAGGGTTGTGCAGAATTTCTCCATAAAGGTTGTACAAATTGCCTACTGGGAGGCTACAGGAGTGTCTGGAAGTCTGTCATTTGTCTTCACGCATTCTACATCTCGCGTGACTCCCAATTTGTCAAGTTTGTGCAGATAGGCTGTAAGTTTTTTTTTTTTTTACGGGCTAACGTGCTATATGATATATTTGCCAATCAAAAAGACGAGAGAACGAGGGACAGCAACACACACAGGACGACACAGGCCATCTGTGCTGTCCTGTTGTCGTGTCTTTCCTTTCCCTGGGGGCAAGTATATGTCATGCAGTGTAAATATCCGCCATGCCTTTGCGACCCTCTGCTACTGGGAAACTGATAACTACTGAACTTTTGCATTATCAGTGTTTTGTCGGCTCGCGTTTATACCTTCGTCAACTCTCATGTACTTCAACGTACTAGCGTTCATACGCCAGCTCAGTAGTTCTGGATCAGAGGCGTGACCCGCGAAGGGTCAGGTGCCTCGACCTCCCCCAGCGAGCTTTTTCTTGGTAATTCCTAATAAAAATAACTTGTGGGTCATTTCTTTCCCTAACAATGCCCCTGATTTGCAACCACTGACAGCCCGTATTTAAATTTACGAGACCAAAAGATACCTAGTGGAGCACCGATTATGTGAGCATTGCGCCTTGTTAAAACGCATTGAAAGTTTGCTCTAAAAAACTAAGTGTACGATAAAGGACACATGAATTTACTCGCTCAGAATAAGATCAAGCCTTGGGTGGGCGTCTGAGTGAATCTGAGGAATTATTATTATGGTGAGTTTGCGAGCCTGGGCGAGTTCAGTTGAAAATAATTGTTGTGAGTCTGAGAAATAGTAAAAAAAACATTCGGTGAACACGAGTCTGAGTGGATTCTTGAGGCATAACATATTTTATGAGTGAGCCTGAGTGAGTCCAACATTTTTTTGTCGAGCTATGCAGGAAAGTACGGTGCGCTTGGCTCTAACTTGCTTGTGTCGAGCAATCGCGACGGTACAGCTAGTCGTCGAGTACGCGCACTTTACCTCTGGAGCCATGAAGCACTGGTCCGCTGAACTTGTGAACATCCCCACATATTTAGTTCACTGTACCACGCGAAAGGCTAGTGCTCATACTTCAAGACTTGAAACGGGATCCATCGGTACACGTATGTGGATACGTGTGAAGAATGGGGCCAAACGTTCTCGGGCTCTATAGCAGCAATCGTTTATGGCACGGAAAGGTCCTCGTTCTTTGCTGCAGTTCTTCAGGAACGAAGGTACTAGCCCAGTGCTGACTCCCTCTCTCTTTTCCTCGTGCCATTTTTCTTTCTCTCACTCACCATATCTGGCATCAAACCACGAGTTTGCTTAGTTGGTTTCTCTGTCTATTTTCTGCAGGCTGTCCCTCCCTTTCTCTCACGCTATTTCCCAGGAAAGAAGGTGTTTGGTGTTATTTTCCCTTCAGACTTGCTCTCCAGCTTTTAGTTTACGCTTGTAGTTTGTAAACAAGGTTTTCCATTGCTTCATTGATCGTGTTTATTGGTTTTCTACGTTCTGTAAACATATCTTTGGTAGTAGAATTCACAGGAGCTTGAACAGGTGCTTAAGAGGCTTTTTGTGTGTGTGCGTGCGTGCGTGTGTGCGTGCGTGCGTGTGTGCGTGCGTGCGTGCGTGTGCGTGTGCATGCGTGCGTGCGTGCGTGCGTGTGTGCGTGCGTGTGTGTGTGCGTGTGTGTGTGTGTGCGTGCGTGTGTGTGCGTGCGTGTGTGTGTGTGTGTGTGTGTGTGTGCGCGCGTGCGTGCGTGTGCGTGCGTGCGTGTGTGTGTGTGTGTGTGCGTGCGTGCGTGTGCGTGCGTGCGTGTGTGTGTGTTGTGTGCGTGCGTGCGTGCGTGTGTGTGTGCGTGCGTGCGTGCGTGTGTGTGTGCGCGTGTGTGCGTGTGTGTGTGTGTGTGCGTGCGTGTACGTGCGTGCGTGTACGTGCGTGCGTGCGTGCGTGCTTGTGCGTGTGTGCGTGTGTGGGTGCGTGCGTGCGTGCTTGCGTGTGTGTGTGTGCGTGCGTGCGTGCGCGTGCGTGCGTGCGTGTGTGTGTGTGCGTGGTGCGTGCGTGTGTGTGTGCGTGCGTGCGTGTGTGTGTGTGTGCGTGTGTGCGTGTGTGTGTGTGTGTGCGTGCGTGTGTGTGTGTGTGTGTGTGTGTGTGTGTGTGTGTGTGTGTGTGTGTGTGTGGTGTGTGTGTGTGTGTGTGTGTGTGTGTGTGTGTGTGTGTGTGTGTAGCACTTCAGTTCCTGCTACTCTTGAGACGGGGGACATCGCACTTGCACTTGCGTGACAGCTTATTATTTGATGCATAAGTTATGTGCGCTGTTGCTGGCTGCCACAGCTTTGTCAGTGCCAGCCACCAATAGTGCACATAATTCCGCTTTTGACAACATGTCATTTACGTGGCACGATCAGTGAAGTGAGTAAAAGATGAAGGCGTGGCAGGTGTAGGAAACGTCTATTCGGTATGCAGTGAACTCTCACTTGACTGAACTTCAAGGGACAAAAAGAAATAGTTTACTTAACTAAATATTCACTGCAATATTGAACAGCAATGGGCACAGTTGATAACGAGTAAAAATTGTGAGGCGGAATTTGTTCTGACAAGAATTCCGTAATCTTTGTTTGGGCTTGCACCCTTGAAGGACAAGAAGAGGCAGTGCTGTACAAAAAGTCCAAGTTTTTCGCACTGCCTCTGGCACAGCTTGTTGCTGTGACACGAAGGCGTGCAACTTTGATTGATTGATATGTAGGGTTTAACGTCCCAAAACCACCATATGATTATGAGAGACGCCGTAGTAGAGGGCTCCGGAAATTTTGACTACCTGGGGTTGTTTAACGTGCACCCAAATCTGAGCACACGGGCCTACAACATTTTCGCCTCCATCGGAAATGAAGCCGCCGCTGCCGGGATTGGATCCCGCGACCAGCGGGTCAGCAGCCGAGTACCTTAGCCACTAGGCCACCGCGGCGGGGCGGCGTGCAACTTTCTGATATATCCAGTTGCCTCGGTTAGAGATTCGGGATTTGAACCTGCGTCAGCCACTACGAGTTCTTCGTCGGGGTGCGTATCGCCCATACGCTATTGCTGCAGAGCGCTAAACTTCTTTCAGTTTATTTTAAAAATGAGCGTAGGCCCGTGGGTAAAATTCGTTCAACTGCAATATTCACTATGCAGAAATTTGTGTAAATGAAAGACTTTTGGATGTCATGCATAGTAAAACACTGAACATTTTCCAAAAGTTCGTTATTCTGAAATATTCGTTAAACCACCGACGTTCGTACAAGTGAGAGTGCACAGTACACACTATTTTCTACAGACGTCTGCCCGAATGACAGGCAACCCACTCCTTAAAAATAATTTCACAAGGTACTTTTTGACCAACTTACGCAATGTGTGCTTTGCCTTCGCACAGACGTATGATGATGCGTTTTCTTTGTGCCGAACAACGCCGCCATGTGGCTTCAGGCCGTGGCTCATTCTGACGCACGTCTCTATTGCAGGCAGATTATACGGAACGTGCTGCAGAGCCTGAATGTGGATCTGAGTGACAAGGAGATCCTGGCGCGACAACCTCTGAACCACGAGGACAGCATTGACCAGCGCGTATGCTCTACCAAGCGCAAAACCATCTACCCGAAAACCGCGCGGAGCGCCGACCACGAGTGGCTGTACGTCGTTAACGACGTGGAGTATGCTCAAGCCGTCACCACCGAAATCTGCGCGTGAGTGTCGGTACCTATCCTAAGTTGGCGACAGAAGAGCAAAAGCCCAGTGGCTTACTCGCTCAATATAGCGATTACTCACATACGGCCGCATGCATCGTAATTGAGCATCGTAGAAGTACAAAAATAAACCTCAACATCGACAACTTCCCCGCAACCTTAAAAGAGGCATAATCAATAGGAGGCGCAGAGTAGTCTTTTTTTGTTAAGTGGGTTTATTATTTCAAGTTCTGGTGAAGTTTGTGGGGTTTCAAGTTCTGGTAATGTTTGTGAGCTCTTAGCGCTGCTCTCGTACGTGTTTTGTTTATTTATTTTTCAATTATCTTCTTTACTTTCTTCTTTCTTTCTTTTTTCTTTGTTTTTTGATTAGTTTCATGAAGTGTTCCCATCGGATATGGCCTCAAGATTTCCACCGCGCGGTTCTCACGATAAGCTCAGCCACCTCCACTCCCAGCCTGAGTGGCGACACAAGCTTTTGTGGAAAGTTGCGCAAATTGTTTCTCTGCGCTGCTAACCCTCATCTGGCGCCATTCGAGGATGTTCATCGAGCATTGATAGCAGTGGAGAGAGAAACGCGTTTAACCTAATGTGCCCGGGCACTTGTAATGTTCTTCTAATTTTTGTTCTGTTCCACTTAACGCAGAAACGTGCGGCACAACGCCGACTCTGGTGCGTGTAATCGAACGACCGACCTCTTACTTGTGAGCGCGAGGCGTTAGCCACTGGCCCACGAAGGAGCACCTCCTTCCACGTTCAAGTGGCAAGCTATTTATATCTACCACTTACCGCTGGTGATGGGCAACTCGGGGGAACTAATGAAGTGTTTTTATCATCATCATCGTGTTTTCAGCATTACCAGCGAGATGGCGCAACGAGTGCGCGTCGCCAGATTGTCACGACGCGGTGGCGCGTGCGCTCATCTCCCACGCGTACTTTGCCCCGCGGAGAGAGAGAGAGAGAGAGAGAGAGAAATAAGGGGGATGTTTGGACGCTCACTTGTGCTCGCGCTAGTCTCGCGATGGTGAGAATCGTGCGCCTTGGGCTTTCACCGGAACGATTTTGTTGTAATTGCCGGGTGCACAAGGGTCACTGCACTCGAGGAACAGTCTCCGTTTGCGAAAAAGGCGCGCTTTTCAGACACAGCGAAGTAACAACTGAGACGCTTATTCGCGTTCATCTGTACCTGTGAGTACGTTTTGTACGTCATTTATGCGTGACAAACGCGGGGCACGTTTCGATCTGCTTTGCAATTCTTCTCGTGACCTTCCAATTCGTTGCTATCGTGTTCATTTCTTCGCCTCTGTGGCAAAGCTGTTACTTTAATGATTACACGCTAATTTAATCTATGATTGTACGTTGATAGCACCGGCTACTCTCACATTCATAGTGTCTGTAAAGATACTATGATAATTGAAAATCACAGCCACGAATGAAAAAAAGTTACATAAAATCGAACCGAGATACAGCTTGTCAGTCAAGGCAGCAATTCGCATAAACACCATGTACATTTACGAAGTCACTAAAGACGAGGCAAGATTCGCTGCAGTGATTTAGCGGTCACGGGGACTTGAAGATCGCGAGTGCGATACCGGCCGCGGCGGTGTCTTTTCGATGGAGGTAAAAGGATGCTGTGCGATTTCAGCTTATAATAAAGGACCCCAGATTGTCCAAATTTCCGAAACGTTTCACTAAGGCGTGCCTCATAATCATATCGTGGTATTGGGTCGTAAAACCCCAGATATCATGATTAAAGACGATGCGAAATATAGTCCAAGCGCATAACAATAGAGTTCACATAAAATTCAGTCACTATATGACACCAATATGCTAACAAATAGGGCTACACTTGAAGTTCAGTCACAAAAAAACACTAAATGACCCCACAAAGTGCAGGCACAGGGGCACCAATAAATAAATTTACACATTCGACGACACATAACGCGATAAGAGCAAAGTTTATACGCAAAATAAGCTTTCGCTATGTATACAAAGTGCTTACTTCAAAATACCATCTCGCCCCGCCACGGTGGTCTAGTGGCTAAGGTACTCGGCTGCTGACCGGTCGCGGGATCGAATCCCGGCTGTGGCGGCTGCATTTCCAATGGAGGCGGAAATGTTGTAGGCCCGTGTTCTCAGATTTGGGTGCACGTTAAAGAACACCAGGTGGTCCCTGGGGTTCTTACAGGTTCAAGAACCCTCACTACGGAGCCCTCCACTACGGCGTCTCTCATATTCATATCGTGGTTTTGGGACGTTAAAGCCCAAACATCAATCAATCAAAATAGCTTCTCAGAATGTTTGCCTGTGTGCGAAGGCGACAGGTGCCTGTCATATTATTTTTGTGAAAAACCAGCACTCTATAAAATAAAATTATGTATGGTAGGCATCATTTTGTTACTCTTTTAGAATAGAGGGCTCCTGAAAAAATAGCAGCACATATATTTTTACTGAGGACGAAACTTCAGATACATTCATAATCCGTGGCTGTAACGTGCGTTTATTCAAAATCAGCACCATTTTCTTTCTCTGCGTACACTAAAGCCAGTCGTGCTGCTACTAAAAGAGTTAATTTTCTATTATTTACAGTCGAGGCATGACCAGGTGACTGCATCTGCCTCTGATGAACTTTTACTACTTTCCAAAACAAGCTCCCCTCCGTTTCGCGATATTTGGAAGTACACTACTTTTCCATTTTCGTCAGTTATAGGCGTTCAAATCTTGAGCCTTTATTTTTTCAGCCAAGATCATTCCGTCTTTGGTCGTAAAGGCGCCGAAGTCGTTCCAACCACTTCGGTCTTCTCGTTGTCTGGGAAAAGCGCTTAAATTTAGCGAGAAGACTGAAGTCCGTTTCGCAATGTACACGCGGGCAGAAGGGTCCCAGCTTTCGAAGTTTATTCTTGTCACAAGAGTGTTCAGGTGCGACGATGTGTAACGGGTGTATTCGCTTTCTGCTCTTTCATTCCCGGTTGATTGATATGTGGGGTTTAACGTCCCAAAACCACTATAAGATTATGAGAGACGCCGTAGTGGAGGGCTCCGGAAATTTAGACCACCTGGGGTTCTTTAACGTTCACCCAAATTTGAGCACACGGGCCTACAACATTTCCGCCTCCATCGGAAATGCAGCCGCCGCAGCCGGGATTCGAACCCGCGCCCTGCTGGTCAGCAGCCGAGTACCTTAGCCACTAGACCACCGCGGCGGGGCTCTTTCATTCCCGACCTCTCTGATTGTTCTCTCTCTCTCTCTCTCTGTCTATGTCGCTGCTGTGCCAACAAATTGATTGATTTGATTGATTTGTGGGGTTTAACGTCCCAAAACCACCATATGATTATGAGAGACGCCGTAGTGGAGGGCTCCGGAAATTTCGACCACCTGGGGTTCTTTAACGTGCGCTGTGCCAACAAATATAGCGTACCATCAAAATGCGGACAAATTGGTTTCCCACCCATAAATTATTACCGACTGGCGCTGATGTCTGTCGGCAGCGCACGCCTGAGGCGGTGGTCTAAGTTACCTCTCCGGTTTAACACATATGCTCTCGCTCTCTTTTCCTTTCGTTTCATGGCAGCGCGATACTATACTTAAACATCAGTGACGCATTTTCCACGCATGAGGCACAGTCACAGTCGCGCAGCAAAGAACGCCGTTGCGTGTCCTTTGTAAGCGCGTGATGAAATTAACAGCATATACGCAGTGAAGAAAAAAAAAGAGGTGGTGCAGAAAGGGTGCGATTTCGTCTGAGCGCTCCCATTTGTCTGAATCGTCCCCGTCGAAGCCGTGCACTGTCGTCTATGTCCATCTGTGAAGCGCTCAGAAGGCAAGAAATTCAGCATTAGTCGTGTACAATGACGCTCCACATGGGGCTTCTTTCGAGCAGTCACAGTATATGAAGCTTCCACTGCTGTGTACAGCTTCAACGATGAGGCGTAGTCGATATTTCTAGACGCAGTATTCGGGAAGTACTGTTCTCCAGAAAATGTGCTATAGCAGAATATACGTTCGGGGTGGTGATGCTATTATATGCTCTATATACGAAGGTCACTCAGAAATGAGTAAAATATATTGCTGGAGTAGAAGTTACTCTTCGTAAAGGGACTCAGCAATCCGCCATCTTACCAGTGGTGGAATGAGAAGTTAGCGTGCAGCGAAGAAAAGTCAGCGTTTACCTCGCACGCCATGTCAATACCAGTAACTTTTGGGTATAGTGCCCAGCGTGAGAGATGACATCACTAGTTTGAATAAGAAGCCTCAAGATCTAGGTAAATTTTATCGCAGATCGAGCCACTGATACTCATCTCGATATTTTTGTCGGGGACAACGATCTCCTATTTTATATTTACCCTGGCTTCTGCATTAAAGGAGCGTAACCACATAATCTCCAAGCTGGCACCACCTGAAAAGACCATATTTCAGAGAAAAAATATAGGCCACACCGTGGCTTCACCTTTGCCGGTAATGTGCGGCGAAAGCTCTCACTCTGGAATTTTTCAATCGTCCGTGAGGCCACCGTACGCGGCAGCGTTTACGCGTCTGCGTGGCCACGTTATAAGTGAGCCTTGCGCATGCAACTTTTGTCGACAAATCCTATTAAGTATATGCAGCTTATACTCTTGCGCTGCATTCTCATTTCCGTCATCTATTTACAACCTGATGCGAACGTATGGAGCGGATAGCTTGACTTTGATGATTACACTGAAAATATTGGTGCCTACCCACTCATTAGAAACGGACCAAAGTCGGGCGGATATAGCTACCGTGTTCGATATATCTCTATTGGCGCTAGAATGTTAGGTTTATCTGTTATTTAAACTGCGTAGCAATTTACTGGCTCGGCTAGTCCTCTATCCAGTGTCTCTCTCGTATTGCATGGTCATGCTCAAAATCAAGGTGTCAACATCGGCCTGAAATAAAGCTATCAATGCTCAGAACAGGATTTAAAGGAGCACTGACATCAAACTTACTCGTGTCAAGATATTTGCGTCAATGAGTAGCTATCGACCCCCTAGCAGCGATTCGCGACCTTATACGCATCTGAGGTACGAATGAATATCCGTAATATTGATTCATATATTCGCTATCAAACGTGGTTCCAAATGGGTCAAAAGCCCGCCAAATTGTAGTGCTGTCGGCGCTACCTTGCAGCCACGTCAAGGCCGCTGCACATCTGATGCTGCTTTCACAAAAAATGGTGACGTCACGCACACTGGCATTTTGTCTGCTATAGGAGCGCATGTGCAGTCAGTCCAGCTGTATCTCTGATGATGTAGGCTAAAGCCCTTCCATGTGTTTTCCGCCGGCTAAGTTAAGTAGCGCCAACTTGTTCTCCTCTTCCTTTAGCCCCGGCCTCTAGAAGGGGCCTCGTACTGCCAGTGAACTCCAACTCGTTTGCCAACACAGGATTTATCCTGTAGCAGCTTGGGGGGGGGGGGGGGGGGTGTTTATGTTTATGTTTATAAGAGGGAAAGGAAAAGTGAGCCCCGTAACTGTCTGCATCGGGGTGCGACACCTCAAGAGTAGCTCACAAGGAATGGGGGTGAGGAGGGATTAAAATGATAGGAGTAAAAGAATATATATATATATATATATATAGAGAGAGAGAGAGAGATGCGCTGGGACAGCGAACGAGGACATATCGAGGGATAGGAGAGATAGGAAAGATGGAAACACGGTCACAGGAATCCGAGGACGGGGCACCACTTGCGAGAGCTCTTGTCGGCGTCAGGAGATGGCGTAGGGCAAGTCCAGTAGCTCGGCACAAAGTGGAGCGAGCGAATGCGGCTGTTCTCCCTCTGTCTATCGGTGCGTCTGAAGCCAACCCACTGGCTGTGTTGAGGTTCGTGGCTTGGAAAGGCATGAAACGCCACGCCATTCCCGCTTTTTCCGTGCATCAACGTGCAGGTTCTCACTGCGCAGTGCTTTCTTAGCATTCTGGCACGTATTGTCACTCTAAATGATCGCACTCATGCTGTGGAACACATGTCAAATCAGTCGATGCGACATGATGAATCGCACGCACGCTTCAACACAGCCATTAGGGAGAGCATGGACGGAGTCGACAGCATTGTTACTAGCGTATCGTCGCTCAGGATAGTGTCACACCGATTACTTAGCACTAGTGTCGATGTTGCAGGGCAGTCTATTTTCCGTTTTTTCTCCTTAGCTTTTCTACGCTGTTTGACATCGAATTAATACAACTTCCACGCGACGGATGCCATTCGAATTTGGCCAAGAAGACATGCATACCAAGCAATCGAATGATGGGCACATCTCGATCTTGAAATTTGATGTCAGTACTCCTTTAAATAAACGAAAAACGTTTAAAATAATATAATTAACAAAAATAACCGAGAAGCAATCGCAATTATTATCGTTAAATTGCTGAAAACGCTTCGGAAACATGCGGATGATATCCGCGCCGCCCAAAAAAGGGCGCCGCTGCGTCTCCGAGCACGTAATTGCTTCTGCACCGGTGCCTCCGTCCCTACATTTGAAGAGGTACCAACCCGACGGAATAGGCGGCAGACGACACGTAATTCTAGTGCCGTAACAAGCTGGAAGTTGGACGAGATTGGATTGGATTGGATAAACTTTTATTTTTATTGGATAAACTTTTATTTTTATTGGATAAACTTTTATTCGCAGCAAAAAAGTGACGCGCTTGTCGTACACCCAGTTTCCGAATCTCTCTAACAAATTGTACTCACGCCGGGGAAATCGTGTGCATTCTTACCTACGATGACGTCATCGATAATAAGGTAAACGGAGCGGTAGGAACTGCATGAGCGGGAATCACTGGGTGCCCGTACCACGCCCTTCCTTAAATTTTACAGTATAGTAGAGCTACAATGAGAGCAGTGTCTAGAGCTATATACACCAGTTTCTACGCACGGACGAGGACCTTTTTTTTTCTTTTCGTCTTCCTTTTTGTCTTTATTTCTCCCTCTTACGCCATAATATTGCTCATTCTATTCTGTTCATGTTGTCGCAATTAGTTGTTCTATAAAAGTTTAATAAATGACGCCTCGTTGTCGACTGTTTCAACTCACGAGTTGACGTGCGCACGATCATGTGCTGTTTTTTTTTTTTCTACAGGAACGAAGAGGCACCTTGCGACTTCGTGTCCAGCGGCCTTCCTCCTGGCTATTCGTCTGCGTGCCGACAGAAGTTCGCGTACCGCAAGCTGCTCGCCATGCACCCGACCGAGAGGAAGGCGTACGCCGAGAACTTTCCCTTCCCGTCGTGCTGCGTCTGTTATGTCAAGTCTCCACCACTGGCCGGGCGCAGCTTGAACCCGAGTCGCCGCCGCAACTGAGAACAGCAGTAACAACACCCTTGGACAGGACGGACAGACCATGCGCACTATTCTAAGCGCGTCATCGCTTCGAGATCGAAAGCATGTTATGCTCGGCAGCCCACCTGCGCGACGTTGTGAGGTCGTACGTGGTGGTGTCCTTGCTCTATTCAACTCCAACGGGCATCAAGACATCCTTGCCGACTGCATCCCGCGCGGCCAAACTTCTGGCAAACATTTTCTCATTCTTGTTGCGTCACTGGAGGCGAAGAATGTCCCCACATCGCGCGGTCTTTTCTTGCGGTAGGGCTCGAAACTTTATCGCCTAGCCTCCCTTTCATGGCGTGTTGTGGGTGCAGCTAATTGCTTTCGAAAAAAAATTAATTGGAGTATCTTGCTTGCCAAAAGCACCATTCGGTTGTGAAGCACGCTTCAGTGGGTTCGGACGCTGCTGTGTAATTTGGACCACTTGTATTTTCACTTGTTTTTCATGCGCATATCCAAGTAAACGAGCAAATTTTGCAATGTGACTGGTATCGCACCCTCGAGCTCAGCAGCGAGACGAGTATACTTACGTCGTTGACACGTAGCAACTGCATCACACATATGGATAAGAGCTCACGAAGACAGCTGGAGCGGGGGGGGGGGGGGATGCGAACTTCTTCTTCTACTTCAGTGGCAGCACATATAGAGCACTTTACGAATGCGTAAAAAGGGGCTCTGCAGCACTTTTCTGAGGAATCATCCAATGGCTTCATTAAAGGATTTTATTGCCTCCCGAATCAATCGCCGCATTTTTTTAGTGTGGCAAGGACGCGTGGCGTTACAAGGGTCTGTCATGCGCTTTCAGTGCTTTCGTACCAGTGAGTGCATTGAAAGCAACGCAGGAGAAGGGGGGAGACAAGGGGTACAAAGGTACGCTGAGAACTTTCCCTTTCCGTCGTTCTGCGTCTGTTACATCAAGTCTCTACTACTGGCCGGGCGCAGCCTGAACTGAGAACAGTAGTGAACAACAACCTTGGACAGGACGTTCTTCTGCGCGTGCGTCATGTTGTAAAGCATTCTCTTTACTTCCTTCATTTTATATTGCGATAGAAATTATATGGACACTCTCGGTTGGATTTCGCCGCTTGCCTCGACGTCACTCACCGCATATGTATACCTTTATATATATATATATATATATAGATATATATATATATATATATATATATATATATATATATATATATATATATATATATATATATATATATATATATATATGAAAGAACGAAAAAAATCCAGTATAACACTCTGGCGCGCGTAATCGAAGTTGGGTCCTCTGAATCGCAAATACGAGGCGTTCACATCTAAGCCACCGAGGAGCAGGACGTGCTTCGTTCAAACGGCAAGTTATCTGTATCAGCGACCTACCGCTGCTGATGGACATCTCGGAGGGGAACTATCGCGTTTTCAGCATTACCAGCAAGATGGTGCAGTAAGCGCACGTAGCAACATCGTCATGGTGAGATGGCCGTGCTCTCATCTCCCACGCGCACTTTGCCCCTCAAAGAGCAGGGGGTCGACGCTCCTCGCGTGCCCTTATCTCGCGGTAGGGAGGTTCGTACGTCTTTGCTGGCGTTATGCTTTTACTGGAACGATTTTGTTTTAGTTACCGGGTGCAGAAAGGTCAGTGCAATCGTTGCACAGTCTACGTTTGAGAAAAGAGCGCGCTTTTCAGACACAGCGAAGTTGCAATTGAGACGCTTATTTGCGTTTATCTGTACCTGAGAGTACGTTTCGTGCGTCATTTGTGCGTGAGAAAGACAGAACACGTTTCGATCTGTTGGCCACTCTGCGCGTGGCCTTCCAATTTATTTCTATCGCACTCATAACTTCGCCCTTGCGGCAAAGCTGTCACTTTTTTCTTCGAACGCGCGCCTTACTTTCAGTGTGATTGCGAGCGAGCATGCGGCCACGTCGTGACATCCCGCGGTAGCCTCGATAAATATGCAGCTCGTGATGCTCAAATAAGGCATTGGCCATTGACTACGGATTTGTGGCGGGTTCATTTGGGTTTATGGCATCATTTGCTGAGAGCATAGGGAACTATTTCTAGTTCACTTTGAGAATTCACTTTAAATTCCAGGCCACGTGCTGCTGCCCTGTATTGCTTGTCTCCAAAGCCGTAACTAAGGAAATATGAAGGGTTTCTGACACCAGCCTTTTTTCTCACTTCAACTTTTCCGTTGATACCTCAGTATTTACCTCCACGACGACCACCAGTTGCCAAAGTCAGCCGTTGTACCCATAAACACCCTCGAAAAAAAAAATTCTGGAACGTCACTCTTTGGCTCACATTTTCCCTAGATCGAAAAAAAAATTCTGGTACGTCACTGTTTGGCTCACATTTTCCCTCGATCCTATGCTACCGATGAACAGCGTTTTCTTATCATGCCCGAAAAATGATTTAGGGCCCCTAAGTGTCGCCATCTTGACCTATTAAAATTGCTGTTTTATATCTGTAGCAGCTAAATAATAGCTGCTAGCGTAGATTAATGAGCCTAGAAACGTCTGTACAAGTGCATTCGGTGTTTCAAGACCGTGTTAATATGAAGTCATTACACGACTGACAAAACATTCGTATAAGATCACATCCCCTATACTACGCATGTGCTTATTTGAACGATCCGACAGTTTACAAGAAGATCGCTTGACCGTTTGAAATAAGCAAAAAAGAAACAAAATGTATCATTCGAGAACGCTTTATTTGTTCACACTTCTAAGTAAGTTGTGCAATTTATCGGCACAGTGCGCAAAAAACCGCTTCAAGCACCATTTTTCAACATACAAGAAGAACAGCTGCGTCAAGACGCATTCTCGTAGTGTAGCGCCCCAGAGCTTAGAAGAGTGCGCAAAAACGGTGGGGAAAATTGCAGCCCAATTTCGATTTCCCGCTGAATTCTAGTCCCGGCGCTCAGCTTTGTCTGCTATCTGGGCTTGCTGTGCGGCCTATTCATCGTTGTGCACATCGTGATACCTCCCGAACGTTCCCCCAGGACTTCCGGCGTGTATACCGAATCAGCGGATCGTCATTATGTATTGCTGTTAGGTGTAATAAACCATCTGCACATGCCTTGAAACATCGCATGCTGAAATAAAAGGAACAATTGTCATCCTCCTTAGGCTGCGTGTTTTATTGTGTGCACCGTCTTCACTCAGCGCTTCATACGAACTCATTTTAACCTAACAGATGATATCGATGTAAATGCGTATTAGACACTATGACTACATATGTAGGACGTGTCGCATTGTCTGCATACGCTGGCCTTGCAAAACTACGCGCTAAGCGCTAATTTATAATGCTGCAACACTCTATGCACACAGGCGTTCTGCTTGAGTAACGGAATAGGCGAAACATTTCAGCATTATATTAAGCTGCGAGTTTTTTCGTTTTTTCGCTACTACGATGAAACAGCTGGAATATATGATGAACACATACTCACCATTAGAAAACACTCAGAGGAGATTCTGTTACGAATAATGTTTTTAATGCTTTGCGTCCCAAAGCCATTATATGGATATGAGGGACGCCGTAGTACAGTACTGCGAAAGTTGTGACCACCAGGTATTCTTAAACAAGCGCCCAACTTTGCGCCCAACACGGGCTTCTAGCATTTTCGTCTCTATAAAGATGCGATCGCGATTCAGTCCCACGACCTTTGTTACGCCTGCGAGTCCACACCTAACGTCTATGCCTCTGCAAAAGGCAATCTGTGTCAAGGCCAGCAATCGAGCCCGCCTGACGCGATCAACTCAACGACGTCATCAATCGGCGGCGCCGGTCTGTCACGCAACGCACCGCGAGCTCTCTCAGCCCGCAAGCCCGTTGAAGCTATCGGCGCCTTCCAGACTGGCGAGTCTTACCGAATGCGTGGGAACGTCACTCATCCTTGGTGCAACCATGCGCAGCGGCGGGCCCCATTGGAGGATTCTGACATCACGGCCAGCGGCGCTTCTGGTTGGACATTTGGTTACTCAAAGGATCCACCCGGTGCCTATAATAGAAGCCCTGCGGCGCGTCGCGAGCAGTAGACCTATGTGTCAGAGAAGAGAGCTCGGCTCTTCGAGTCTCTAAGCTGTCGGCCCCAGTGCCGAATTTGCAACGCATTTATTTCTTTGCTGTACATAAATGCCTTAACTCACCCTCGTCTCGTCCGCTCGTCAATCAGCTCTGTGTACAAGTAACACATGCTGAGTAACACACGCTACCAAACGGCTGGTGACTGTGTCGGTGGAGTTCGGAGCAGCGGCGCCTTCGGGACCGTGTTGGCGTCTCATCTTCGTAACAGTGGTTGGCAGCTGCGGGATCGGCGGGTGTCAGCGACATCGATGCGGTGAGTGCCTGATGTTTTCCCCTCAGTTCACCAGACTACTCTTCTAGCACAGGTCATAGTAGTTTAGAGAAGAGCTGTTTGAAGCATTAGAGTGAGCTTTGATCGTTTCAAGCCATGTCTAAGCGCTTTGAAACCAAAGTTAATGCGGAGGGTGTAAACACGGGAATGTGAAAAATTGCTTGGGCGTCTTGCTAGTAGACTTATAGTGGGTACGGCAAGTAAATTCTTAACAGGGGCAAACAGCAAGAGGCTAGTGTGAACGATAGAGAACTTTAAAGTGAAGGAACTCTTCGAAGTTTGTGAGGAACTCGGCGTTACTATGGGCTGTGCGAAACGAAAGCAAGCGATCCTTGAGATCATGAAGGATGAAGGAGTGTCGGCTGAGGAAGTCGATGATGCCTGGGTGGATATCAAAGCACGCCGCGATTAGGCTGAAAGGCGAGAAGTAGAAGTTCGCGAACACGGAGAAGCTGAAGAGCGCGAACGTCGCGAGCGTGAGGAGGCCGAGAGACAGGAGCACCTCGAGTTGAAACGAATAGAATTGGCAATCCTACAGTGTTCGCAGGCGCCTAGCGTATAGCTTCTTCGACAGTTCAGGTCAGCGGTTATAGAATTCGGGACGAACTGCCACCGTTCGTAGCAGGCGAGGACATGGCGAAATATCTCGTCAAGTTTGAACACGTCTGTGAGCGAAATGCTTTGGAGCGGTCTCTTTAGGCGCAGAACCTGTTAGCTCTTCTTCTCGGCGAAGTGTCCGACGCGATAACGTGCTTGTCGAGGGAAGCGTTTGAGAGCTATGATGAGGTTAAGGAAGTGTTCTTGAGACGTTATAAGTTGTCACCCAAGGCTTTTAGGCAAAGGTTCTGGTATGCTAAAAAAGGGAATGAGTCACACGTTGATTTCGCGTTCCGTCTTAAAGCCGATTTAATTGAAAGGCTCAAGGGCGGAGGTGTTTATGATGATCGCGATAATGTGGTATAATACATTGCGTTGGAGCAATTCTACCCCGGCGTCGAAGAGGATGTCAAGCTTTGGCTGCAGGACAAACTTGGTGAAGTACAGCTAAACAAGGCAGCAGAGTTAGCCGAGGAGTATTATACTCACAGAAAGTTGCATAGCAGGGCAGTGTGCGTTGAAAATTATGAAAAGAGGGCTTTTCAAAGAAACCTCATCAAAGGAAACCCGCTCCGCACCGTAATTTCAAGACGGACCCGTCTCTTACGAAGGACACTGTAGGGGAAGGGCAAACGGAAGCGGAGAAATCGAGTGGGGTTCCTAAACAACGCACTGATACCACACGGGCGTTTGAATCACGGAAGCCGCTAATCTGCTACAACTGCTAAAAGGAAGAGCAGATCGCGATAAACTGTAAGCAAATGTTTGCTTTTGCAACAATCCGAAAA